TTAGTAATTCTTCTTTTCCTACTTTGCATCATTTAGATAACTTTAAAAGCTAGAAATTTGCAAATTTGAGTGATTTATAATATAAACATAGTTGAAATCAAACGTCATACTATTTGCTATTATTGAGTTTTTTATAACTGCTGCTAGTCTGCTTGTCAGCGTACTGGACTTCAGATTGTAAAAGAAGCTGCTGATATTGAGGTAGCATGTCTATTCAAACCTTATATCTCCAAGAAAAATGTTAATTTGTTGAAATTTTGAGCACGGGATGCATTAGTGGTATTGGCATAGTTTAGGGGATTAGGGGATACGTTGGAATTTCCAAGGATGGAGGAAGTTTTCTTCTGAAAGGTCACATATTAGATGCATTTTACACTAACTTGGAGCATGGGTGATACAAGACTAGGACTATGGCAAACACTTCACTGTGTACAAGGCAGCTATCAACTCATAAGAAAATGGTGCCTTTCCTTAATTAGACTTTACAAGATTACCATACCAAAATTTGCCATGAATGCTTTGAAATGGTACTATCTTTCCTGGATTTTAGGTATAACTAGCCTTTTTTCCTCTGAAGTTTTTACCCCCTTCCAGTTTATCATTGATGATCTTTCCATGATCAATTACTTTTAGGGGATAATAATGATAGGCCTCCCATATGGATTACATACTCTAGAAGAAGCAAGAAAGGTTGAGAAGCAATTAGAAGATGGGGGGAAGGATAACAGCATTTTGTTATGGGGCAAATAAGAGGGAAAAGTAGTTAGGAAGTGGATGCAAATAAGAGGGAAAATTAGTTAGGAAGTGGATACAAATAAGAGGGAAATGGGGGCTTGGGAGGCAGGCAAATATTGAGTGGAGAGAGGGAGTCTTGTAAACCTTTTTTTTACTTGTAATTTCTGTAGTTCAATTCAATCAATAATTCTTTCAGATTCATTCTTCTCTTTAGAATCTTATCAAATTGGTATCAGAGTCAGTTTATCTTGATGGCTTAGAAAAAGAATGACAGCAAGGTGGAGGCCATAGAAAGAGATATGGAGGAAGTGAAAGTAAGCCTACCTGGGCTGGAAAGATCAGTGGATCAGCTCTCCCAGCACATGGCTAAAATGATGCAAACTATGGAAGAAACCCAAAAAGCTGTTTCATCCGTAATTCATCAAAAGGCGGACTCCAGTAGAAAGTGGAAGAAGGTGGATCAGGCTGTATCACGGGGGAATCAGTGTCTACAAATCAGTTTCAGAGTTATTATCAAACATCAAAGAAAGGGAGGGCAACGGAAGTGATGTAGGATCAATATACTGATCAAGAAATAACCACAGTGACAGGAAGCAATAGGCAGCAAGAAAGGGGGGGGGGGGGGAGGGG